AAACTTTACAAAGCATATATAATTTACAGGTGGCCCATTCCTTCCATTGTTTCTGATTGAGCTCACGAAAGCCGCCACCACCACCACTATCATCACCATCTCCATTTTTTGCGTATTTAAACAGAAACTTGATTAGTTTCTGTGGCTGTTGATGTTGTAGTCTCCTTCGTTGCTGTAGTTAATGGGGTCCTCTCTGTAATGCGCCTCTCGGATTGAAGAGGGAGGAAAGTTGATTTGGTTCCTTAAAGTTGAAGCTTTCTTTTGTTAATTCGACATGGGAATCGGCAGAACTCAAAAGGCCGTTGCCAATGGCGTTTCCACCAGATGGGTTGCTCTCTTCTGCATCGCCAGCTTTTTGTTGGGTGTTAGTGTTGTCGATAGGTTCTGTCTCTCTCTCTCTCTCTCTCTCTCTCTCTCTCTCTCTCTCTCTCTCTCTCATTCTCTTTCGCGAACTCAAGATCTTGTTTTGAGTGATCGGCTTTTAGATTTTCTTCAAAGCTAACTTTTTACTGTTTTCATCATCTTCAAACTATTCTTCTATTTTCTGAGTTTATTTTGGTGTTTTCAGTTGTTTTGATACAGAATTTGCATGGTAAATGTTAATGCATTTGGTCTGGATTCCTGGTGACTTTCTTTTAACCAGTGTTTGTTATCTGGGTGTCTGGCATTTTCTGTCCATTGTTAGTAATTGGTTAGCTTTTATTGTTCTTTTCTGTGTGCGAGATGCGCGTACTATGTATGAGTGTGTCTGTGTGAAATGGCGACAGTTAATGCCTCTTTTCCCGGCGGCTAATACTAGATTTGGAGGATTTGGTTGTAAATGCTGTCTGATTTCATGGCTTTTCTGGTAGTAGATTCGCTGACACTTTGGCTCCGGTCAAGTTTGTGGACTTTGTCAAAAGGGATTCAGTTGTTTGAAAGTTGGTCTTAGACAGTGGAAGTTTCAGGAGTTTCTTAAGGGCTAGTTGAAAAGCTTATGGAGGGAAGTCATTTTGCAGGTTAGTAAAGGGTTTCTTGAAAATGGGTGGAGTATAAGAGAGCAATTGGTTCCTCAGGATGTGTCTGTTGAACTTTTTAAAATTCTGAGTCATTTGGGATGTTGGGATTGTGATCTTTATCTTGATTTGATCTGGGAATTCTTCTGTCTTGTCATCAACCAAAGTCCAAATGCGGATAATTTCTCATGGGGGTGTGATTTAAATGCGGTATTCAATTATTTCTCTCCAGTTTTTCATGTTGATTCAAATAATTCTGTAGTCAGGGATGAAGATTGCAAAGGGAGGTGTTCCCTTGTTTGAGCCAATAGTGAAAATGGTGGCAATCCATGTTTACAATGTCAATTAGCATCGAAACATCTTAGTTGCTCACAAAGAAATTGACTTCTGAAGAATTACTGGGGCTGTAGTTGACTACAAATTTTCATATTAGTATTCGTTTTGGTATTACTTGAAGAATGTTAGACTACTTTTGGTAAAATATATCAAATATTTTTATTTTGTCTCCATTGAACAATATGGATATATATATATATATATATATATCCATTTCACTCTGTACAATTTAGTTTCACTGGGTTAAGCTCTATTTCAGCATACGCCCTCTTGCAACTCCACTAATTGCATCAACTACGCCCTTAGAGCAGATTATGCTTTGTTTTGCAGTTCTAATTGATTGTGATAGGTCCCAATCAGAAGCCTGATTAATTTGATAAGAAAATTTTCTCATTTGGGTGAGAAAAACCACAATTTGCTTGCAAATTTTTCGATGCCTCTTATTGCTGCAAATGAGTGTTTAAACAAATAAAATTTCTAATTGAATTTACCGATAAACTAGAGGAAAGGATTCAAAAATAAAAGATAAGCTTAAAGATAAGATTGAGCTGATTCTGGCTAACATATTTTCTGCATGTTTTCTTCTTCCTCTTCTGCACATTCTGCACATGTGCTTTTACTCAGTCCAAATACCGTTTGGGTTTGATGGTGGGACGTTGTGGTCTTTGCGGTTTATCATTACCTCCCCCTTTTTTGGGAACCTTGTCCTCAAAGTTCATGTTGCCATAGTGTTTTTGCAGTGCTTCAACATTTTCCCATGTTGCATCTTCTCTTGGCAATTGTTTCCATTGGACCAAGTTTTCTTCTATAATGCGGGAGCCATGCTTTGCCCAACGGGCATCAAGGATGGCATCTGGCTGTAGAATGGGGTCCTCTTCATCTGTCATTGCTGGTAGTGCATCTGGCCAACTGGGGGAGTCTCCTATTTTCTTTTTGAGCATGGACACATGGAAGATTGGGTGTATTCGGGCCTCGGAAGGTAGTTGTAGTTTGTATGCGACTGGTCCGATCTTTTGTATGATTTTGTAGGGTCCATAAAAGCGACAAGCCAATTTGTGAAAAACTCACTTGAAGGCTGACTGCTGTCTGTGGGGTTATAGCTTAAGAAATATCCAGTCCCCTTCCTTAAATTAAACATCGCATCTCTTGACTTTGGAAAACTGTTGCATTCTGTTTTGTGTTGTTTGCATATTGGCCTTGAGCTGTCTGAGTAGCCCATCTCTAGTAGTTAACTGAACATCAACTTCGTCAATAGAAGTTGCACCTGGTTGGTACTTGGGAATAATTAGTGGTGGGCGACTGTAAAGAGCCTAAAATGGGGACATGCCAATGGTTGAGTGGTAGGTAGTGTTGTACCAAAATTCTGCCTATGAAAATATTGTGCTCCATTTGCGAGGTTGTTGGTGGCTAAAGCAACGTAACTATTGTTCTAGACACCGGTTGACTACTTCGGATTGCCCATCTATTTGCGAGTGGTAAGATGAGCTCATCTTTAGCTGGGTTCTTGAGAGCTTGAAGAACTCTTGGCAGAAATGACTAATAAATACTGGGTCTCGGTTGCTTATAATAGATCTCGGCATGCCATGCAATTTTACTACACTGTCCACAAATCTCTCGACTACAGTCTTGGCTGAGAACGGATGAGATAGAGCAACAAAATGAGCTGACTTACTGAGGCGGTCGACTACCACAAATATGACAGTTCTCCCATTGGAAGGGGGGGAGTCCTTCAATAAAATTCATGGTGATGTCATCCCATACCTGATATGGAATTAGCAAAGGTTAAAGAAGACCTGTCGGGGAGAGAGTTTCCACTTTTGTCCTTTGGCATGTATCAGAGGCCGAAACATACTGATGAACTGTTTTGCGCATTGTGGGCCAATAAAATTGTTGAGCTAGGCGTTTGTAAGTTCTTACTACGCCTGAATGACCTCCTGATGGAGAGTTATGAAATTCTTGGAGTAACTATTGACTAATCTCAGTATCTGGGGGTACCACTACCCGATTCTTATAGTAGACCAGCCCATTTTTCTCGGTGTACGGTTGCCTTGGGGTTGTCGGAGGCTAGTTTTTTAAGTTTCTGCATATAAGGATGCCCAAGTGTTGCCTTCTAGATGCTGTCCCAGATATTACAGTGGGGAGGGGATAGGTGATGCAAGATGGGGCTTCCTTCTTTACGAGAAAGGGCATCTGCAGCGGAGTTTTCTTTTCCTGGTTTGTAGAGAATCTCATAGTCATACCCGAAGAGCTTGGACATCCATTTCTATTGTTCTGGGGTAGTGATGCGCTGCCCTAGAAGATACTTGAGACTTCTCTGATCTGTCTTGATGAAAAATTTATGGCCAAGGAGGTAGGGTCTCCAGAGTCGTACAACCACGACTATTGCTAACATTTCTTTTGCATAGACGGACCAAGATTGCTTTGATATTCCGAGGGCCCTGCATATGTAGGCTATGGGTTTTCCATCCTGAGTGAGGACAACTCAAATTCCCTCTCCTGAAACATCTGTCTCAATGGTAAATGGCTCATTGAAGTTGGGTAAAACCAAGGTTGGTGTGGTGGTCATAGCTTTCTTCAAGTTCTCAAATGCTTCCCCTGCATCTGTTGTCCATTCAAATTTTCCTTTCTTTAACAGGTTGGTCAGTGATCTGGCTAAGAGTCTGTAATTGCACACAAACTTTCTACAGTACCTGGTTAAACCCAAGAAGCCTTTGAGTTCGGTGGTGTTGCTTGGTGGAGGCCAGTAGGTTTTAGCTTGAATCTTTTTCTTATCAACTTTTACTCCGCCAGAGGTGACAATGTGCCTCAGATATTCAATCTCTTGTAGCCCAAACTCACACTTCTTTAGCTTGAGAAAGAATTGATTTTGTTTTAAGACTTATAGTACTTGTCTCACATGATCAAGGTGGAGGGTCCAAGTAGTACTGTAAACCAAAATATCATCAAAAAATACTAGAACAAACTTACGGAGGAACGATCAGAACATGTCGTTCATGAGAGCCCGAAATGTGGAGGGGGTGTTTCATCGGGTGAAAGGCATCACCAAATATTCATAATGGCCACTGTGAGTCCAGAAGGCCATCTTGTACATATTAGGGGGTATACTCTGACTTGGTGGTACCCAGCTATGAGATCCAATTTAGTGAAAAAAGTGGTAACATGTAACTCGTCGAGCATGTCATACACGGTTGGGATAGGGAAGCGATCTTTGATGGTGACCGCATTGAGAGCCTTATAATCGGTGCAGAATTGTCAGGTGCTATCTTTCTTCCGTACTAGTAATATCGGGGATGAAAAGGGGTTGGTGTTGTGTTGTATGAGTCTGGTTTTAAGCATTGCATCCACCTGTTTCTCTATCTCAACCTTCTGAAAGTAGGCGTACCGGTATGGGCGGACATTCACCGGTTCAGCCCTTTCGCGGAGGTTGATGTGGTGGTCAATTTTTCTGGCAGGTAGCAATGAATCAGGTGTGCGGAAAATTGCTTGGAATTCATCCAAAATAGTTTTCATATCAGACTTGACTTCGACAGTGGGTGTGGTGGAGACGTTGGTCTTCACACAGAGGGCAAATACAGAGGGTCGTCTACTGAGTTCTCTGGCCATGGTGTTGCCGGAAGTGGGTTATATTGGTTCGGTCTACATGCCTTGCAAGTGGTGGAGCCAACAGTCTTTGGTGAACTCCATCGTCCCAGTTTTCCAATCACAACAGACCGGACCCAAGTTTTCTAGCCATTGTATGTCTAGAACCAAATCCAACCTGATTAGTGGTAAAGTAAAGAGAGTAAGTCGGAAGGGAATACCGTTTAATAGCACCGGGATATCCTCAAAGCGGCCTCGGCATCTTATCGGGTCGCCATTTGCGACCTTGACCAGCAAGGGAGGTGTCGGCACCACTGGGAGCTGCAGAGAGTTGGCGAGTCGCTCACTAATGAAGTTGTGAGTCGACCGGTTGTCAATGAGGGCAATGGATTCTTGTTTCTGAATGGTGGCACGGACCTTCATGGTTTTTGGAGTCAACCACCCCATGAGGGCATAGAGGGAGATTTCTGGTTCATCGGGCCTTGCTTCCTCTTCGTCTTCTTTATTCCTGCCTTAGAGGAGTAGGAGTTGCGGTCGTTTGCACCAATGGCATGCAGTGAACTTCTTGTCACAATGGTAGCACAAATCCTATGTGCGGCAGCGTTGTGCCTCGTTCCAAGAGAGTCGTCGAGGTGGAACATTTGTAGCCGTTAGGGTTTATAGTGGACCGGTCGGATTCAGAGGGACCCGGATCAACCTCTTCTGTCGGATTTCGAGTTGCTCCTCCCTTATGTGGGCCAGGCTGGTTGCCTCTTTCAGTGTTTTGGGCCTGAACATGTGGATACTTCCGCGATTTCGGGTTTAAGCCCGCCGATGAAAGTGCCCACCAGCGGTTTATGGGTCCAACCCTGCACTTGATTGCCCTGCACTTGATTGCCCAACTTCTCAAACTCCTTCTGGTATTCGGGTAATGGGCCGGACTGCTTCACACGGGATAGAGCCTCATCAAAGTCTTCGCACTCCGTCAACCTGAATCAAGCCCAAAGCTCCTCCTGAAAGATAGCCCACGTGACCTCTCTCCCTTCTTCTCTATCTGTGCGGTGAAGCCACTACCACCACTGGTTGGCTTCGCCCGTCAGGAAGCTAAGAAGACCTTCTGGTTGTTGGTGATGTTATGGAAGTCGAAGAATTGCTCGGTTTGGTTACACCATTCAGTCAGGTCGTCTTTGTCGAAGGTGGGAAAGTCCAACTTTGTAATTTTGGAACCAAACATCGGCCCCCTTCCGTCTGCTCTGGAACTTCTTCGCGAGGCAAATGCGATTGCTTGGGACGATCGGTGGTGTTGCTGCTAGCCCCCTCCCTATTGAGCATCAGGGAGTCAACGAGTCGTCGGGCGGTATGTTCGAGCTGAAGCATGTGGTCGACCAGGCCAATCTCCATTCGGCTGAGATGGTCCTGCATTTCGTCCACACTGTTTTCCAGGTTTTCTATCCTTTCTTTGTTGGTGGCCATGCCTTTGATACTAATTGATAGGTCTCAATCAGAAGCTTCTTTAATTTGATAAGAAAATTTTCTCGTTTGGGTGAGAAGAACCACAATTTGTTTGCAAATTTGTCAATGCTTCTTATTGCTGCAAATGAGTGTTTAAATACATAAAATTTCTAACTGAATCTACCATTAAACTAGGGGAAAGAATTCAAAAATAAAAGATAAGCTTAAAGATAAGATTGAGCTGATTCCGGCAAGCATTTTCTACACGTTTTCTTCTTCCTCTTCTGCACGTTCTGCACATGTGCTTTTACTCAGTCCAAATACCGTTTGGGTTTGATGGTGGGATGTTGTGGCCTTTGCGGTTTATTAGATTGTTTATTTGTTGACTTTTCGTGAAGTCCCATTCTTACGATCTTTATGTGATATGATTTTGCCTTTTTCTAATTCTGCTCTTAAGGGCTCAATTTACCAGTTTCCTATGCATCCTCACATGTTGCAGCATGTTCTTGCTTATTTTCTCTGCTTCATTTCATTGAATCTTGATTATAAAACATGGGTTTTACAGGTGAAGGTGGTCATTAATGAGATTTTGTGTTTGGTTGTATAGGTTTTGGTCTATTCCTGATCCAGTCAAAATGGATGAGGGAGCTTCTTCCACGGAAGAACATCAATCAAAAGCACTTCACCCCATAGTTAATTGTGAGAAGAAGGCAAGTAAGAAAAATAAAGCTTTAAGAAGCTTTACTGCTTTGTAATAATGGATTATTTTTTTTTATTTTGTATGTTATTACAGGATGCCTCTGTACAGGAGGGCGATATCCTTTCTCAGGTCTCTCAAACTCATGATGTAATCTTGTAAGTTACTTTTTCTTGCTGAGTAGTCTTTGTAAGGATCTTGAATCTTCCTTGAGGGTTTCTTCTGGTATCTTTTCAGATTTCCTATGAGAGCATTCAAGTGATTGTTAAAGTTACAATACCAAACAGCACGAGATCATTATTTGACTGAATTTATTGTCTATTTTAGTTTTATTTATTTATTTCTACTGTTAGTGGAGAAGTTAATAGATTTTGGTTTCCTATTATTTGGAGACTTGTCGTTGATGGAGAAGTTAGTGACAGAGAATATGACTTGGTTAGTGGGGAAGTTAATGATAGAGAATAAGAGAACATAATTTGATTAGTGGAGAAGTTAGTGGCAGAGAATAAGAGAGCATAGCTTGATTAATGGGGAAGTTAATGGCAGGGAACATGACTTATATGAGCTCTTAGGGACTAGTTGGGTGATTTCTGGGACTATGAGGGGGAAAATTTGGGCTTGGGATGGGCTTACCTGCAAATGTAATGTTGTCAACTTGATTTCTTTGACTGTTTTTTGGGTTCTTTGGAAAGAAAGAAATGCTAGAGTCTTTGATGGTAAAGGGTTAGGTCTGTATAAATTAAGAGATAGGTGGATTAACTATTTTGGGACTAGTTTGTTGGGTTATAATATTGTTAGGGATGAGGATTGTGGAGATATCATTGGCATACTAACTACTTTGTAAATCTCCATGGGTTGGTACGCCCCTTTTTTTTGGTACTTTGTTAATATACAAGTTACATTTTATTTCAAAAAAAAAATATGCCCATAAAAGACAGCCTATTTAAATGAATTTATTCCTTTGTAGCTTCACTTACTGTTTTGTGATTTATCTTTCTTTGAGTACATTTCCTCTTTCATCTCTGCAATGTTTATATTTTGTTGTGACTCTTTTGTTGTGTTCCTCAACAGTAATGACGTTGGTTGCTAAAATGTATATAAAACTAAAGATGACATTTATGACTATTAATGCTGATATACTTTCAGGACACTAGACAGAACAATCTCTTCATTGGAAATGCAGCTAGCTGCAGCAAGAGCTGCCAAAGCTGACAGTGAGGTAGGATCTCCAACAGTTACACAATCAGGAACTGAGCAGTTGAAGGACCGGCAGAAGGTTTTCTTTGTGATGGGAATAATTACAGCATTCAGCAGCAGAAAACGACGGGACTCAATCAGAGAAACTTGGATGCCAAAAGGTCCAGCTAAATAATTCTGGTGTTCACTTATAGGATGAATAAGTCCAGATATTAACAAAATAAGTCTGAAATTTTCCATTTCAGGCGACGAGTTGAAGAAGTTGGAGAAGGAGAAGGGAATTATAATACGATTTGTTATAGGACACAGGTAGCAGTCTCCTCAATTTGGTAGGATTAGCATACTGATTTATCGTTTTGGTTTTGATTAATAGAGACCGTAAAATCTTGTGGTTTCCAGTGCAACTCCTGGTGGTGTCTTGGATCGGGCTATTGAAGCAGAAGAAGAGCAGCACAAGGATTTCTTGCGATTGGTATGATGATAATTCGCCTAAGCTTTTTCTTTTAACAATCATTTACCTGGAATATTTGCTGAGCCTGTCAGAAAAGACTTGCTGATAAGTTATCCTGTTGCTTATCTTGCAGAATCACATCGAGGGCTATCATGAATTGTCTTCAAAAACTCAAATATACTTCTCAACTGCTGTGGCTAAGTGGGATGCTGATTTCTACATCAAAGTTGATGATGATGTCCACATTAATCTCGGTAAGTTTATGTGCCTGTTTTTGGGCTTAACATGCATGTCTCTACTTCAAGAATAGCACGAGCATGTCTAATTAATATGTGGCATATGTTGGAGAAACTTAATTGATTTTAACAATTTCCAGGGATGGTTGGTTCCACTTTGGCCCGTCACAGATCAAAACCGCGTATTTATATTGGTTGTATGAAGTCTGGACCCGTCCTAGCACAGAAGTAAGTTCTCAAGCTTACACTATATGTCGTTTGCATATATCAGCATCAAATTTACCTGGACCATTATGTGCAGAGGGGTTAAGTACCATGAACCAGAATACTGGAAATTCGGTGAGGAGGGAAATAAGTATTTTAGGCATGCGACAGGGCAAATATATGCAATCTCCAAAGATTTGGCAACCTATATTTCAGTAAACCGGTGAGCCCTTACGGAATGTTAAATCATTCCACTTTGTGTTATTTACCATTATACCCTTCGCTAATCATATTTTATTATTGTTAGGCACATACTTCATAGGTATGCAAATGAGGATGTTTCCCTGGGTTCTTGGTTTATTGGTCTCGATGTAGAGCATATCGATGATAGAAGCCTCTGCTGTGGAACACCCATGGGTAAGATGGTTGATTATGTGTTGAAAAATTATTTGAGAAGTTCAGTTCGTTTTTTCTAACATCATTGATTGTGTCCAATATTTTAAAAGTTTAACACGATAGAAAATGACTAGATTCATTATTTAAACATTGACATGATCCCTCAACCTTCCTCACTTACAAGCCCACTTAGTTGAAAGCATGAATCGAACACAAGCCTCATATCTTGTGCTGAAATTTGATTGACAAAGAAATAAGCGGTAGTCAAAATTTGACCTTTAGACTTTTGGCTTCAATATCATGTGAAATAATATAATATAATTAATCACCAAAAGCTTAATGATTAAAATTTGAACTTCAGATCATCAGTTATCTGTTTAAATTCCTATTCATTTGTCTGCTGGGACGACCAGCAAGCTCAATAGTAGACACCCTTTGAAACTAAACTTTTACTGATACTATTAGCATGACATTGATAGATTGTGAGTGGAAAGCCCAAGCGGGCAACCCCTGTGCAGCATCGTTTGACTGGAGCTGCAGTGGCATTTGCAAGTCTGTGGAGAGAATGGATGAAGTGCACCAGCGGTGTGGGGAAGGTGACGGAGCTATCTGGCATACAAGCTTCTGAAACATGACATATGATGAATGTAAATTGATTATGTTAGATCAAACCCTTTGTCGATACAGTGCCATCTGCCCGAATTTTGGTTGTTTGTTGCCTCGGGACAGCTGGTACATGATTAAACGAAATCAATGAAGAGAAAATATGGATTCTCTTTTGCGAAAAGAGAAGTTAAAGTGATTTCCCATGGATGAAATTCCATTTCCATGTATTATATTATCGTGCTCCCGATGCACCATGCCTTAAAAAGCAATTATCGAGTATCTGATTGTAATCCCCTAACTTTTTTCATAGTAATTAATATTTATGTAGAAAAATTAGGCATCAAAGATCTTTCCCATTTGATTTTGTCATGTGGAACACATGGATTTGTAATTGGTTCCTATATTTTGAATTGAGCGGATTTACAGAAAAAAGAAGAGAGAGAGAGAGATGCGTTACCCAGAAAAAGAAATCCAGCCGGGAAGGTTTTTAGTGAGGTCTGAGTTTGAAAGACATGTGAAACTAATGGTTGGTACGGCAGAAATCATGACTCAAAGTGAGAAAACTGAGATCTGTTTGGCAGCCGAGAATCCTGAATTCAAAACTCCCCTTCCCCCACACCAACAGTATTTCTCTGGGTATATTCAAAAATTTGGACGGAAAAATTATTTTCCTCTTCCTTGAATATAAATTATTATTCTCCATCAATTAGAATATTTCATGATGGACCAAAGATTTTGATGGTACCAAATATTTGTAAAGATTCAATTATCACAAACAAGTCAAAATCAATGCCGTGTTTTCTCTACGGATCACATCTGACTTGGAAACTGAAAAAGATAAAGAACATGTGGTCAATGCCCGAAAATCAAACATGCACCGCACGAGCAGTATAAATACAAAGTTAAAAAGTGATTTTGGTTTAGTCTAACCCAGTTTAAGGTGTTGACAAATTAAACCCTTAGCTTAATTTGACTTACGATTGGTTATATATATATATATATATATATGTATGTATGTATGTACGTATTTGCATAATATTTTAAGTCAACAATCATCACCTCCACGAGAGGCAGCTCGGGACCGAGTTTGGCAACAAGGGAACACACACGCTAATCAACAACTTAAATTAAATAAATAATAAACTAAGTACTTGTAATAATTATTATTAAATTGCTTAATTAATCTTCAACCAATATATTTATGATATCACCAAAAGAATATTCTTTAGTGGCAAGTGTTTTACAATAAATTTATAAATAATGTAATTAATTATTTTACAAATATTCAAATAAAATATATCTATAAACACTATTTTACAAATATTCAAATGTACCGTACCGCGCAGAGCACTAGACCAGCATTATTTATTAACGTCTCTCTCCCTGCTAAGTTGAAACTTTCAACTCGCTAAAAGTATATGCATGATATATATACATTCACACGTGTGTATATTGTAATGAAGATTGAAATCCTCCTATAGTTTGACCAAAGATAAATGTTGACCCCCTTTTTAATTAATTACCACCATCCTATTCCATTAATCTAACCCTAACACTGAGTATCAAATTATTGTTATAATTAAATTTGCCTTTCGGATGTGCCAGCTACCTCATCCATCATTTTATTAATTTTATATCATCCGAAATTATTGTATTTACTAAAATCATAACGACAGGTTCAAATTTTTTGTATAATTAATATTTTAAATTATGATTAAGGATTAAATATTATATTAAGACGAAGTAGATCGATATAAAAAGTCAGCTACTGTATATTTGGTGTAACATTTGGTTCTTAGATAGAAAAACTGAATAACCAGTTTAGTCCCAATTTGGCCAGTAAATAAATAAATAAATAAAATCAAAATTCTCAAAATTTAAAATAAAAACCATAATCTGATCCTAAACTAAAAAGTCACTCCCCCTTAAAATCAATTGCCACTGCCCATTAAAGTCATTAATTTTGTTACTGTTCCGAAATCGAGTATATTGCATGACTTGAAGTCTGTAACTTGCTTAGGCCTCAAATCTAGCTCCAACACCTTAGCTCTTAGGCAATAAGGCCCTCACTCCAACACCTCTCACTTGTCAGCTTTCACTCTACAGATCCAGTAGTTCCTCCTCTCAACACATGCTCGTTGCTCTCTTCAGTCCCTCAACTCAGCTCTCACTTGAGTCACCTATCCTAACTCTTTGCAACCTTGGCCTTTGAGGCCTTGTTCATTCTCCAACTCCAGCAACACCTCCTCTCAGCTCATGCTTGTTGCTTTTCTCAATCCATCAACTCCAGTTCATTGCTCGTTACTCATTTATATATAAATTATTTATGATTTTATTTTATGTTTTAATAAAAAAATATGATCCATTTTAGTCAGAATCAAAAAATTCAATTTATACTGAATTAAACTAAATCTAATATAGTATAATTGTCTATTAGAGAGTTACAGATTTTTTCAGTACTAATTCAATTTATAATAAGAGGTTGAATTCAATTATAGTGAAACTTGTTTAAAAGTGTTTTGTTATCATCACCAATTATGAATATAAAAAAGTTATACATTAATATTAGATGAATTTTAAGAAGGTAATGAGAATAAGATTTGAAACGAGAAATTTATTGTTAAGATTCTAAAATTTCGATATCTTTATCTTTTAACTCTATTTAAAAAGATTTATTAAATAATTGTCAGTACTTCTTTATTTTTATCCATAAATTTTTTTAGGAAATATAGGTACGTTTATTTTCATGTCATACACGTGTGCATAGTTAGTTTTTTTACTCTATCTTTACTTTCTTAACTATTAATTCAATTTTTTTAATCTAATAATAAACTTTATTTTTATTAAACAGTATTTCAATTCACAAAAAGTGAAAAAAAAAAAAAAAATTGAGGATCTCCATTAATCACATTCAAAACAAAAAAAGTTATAATGTGCTATAAATAACATATTGAATGACGTAATAATTCAAAATATTTTAAAAAATACATTGCGTAATTTATGGAAGAATTTAATATAAACCAACTTGTTTTGGTTCAATTTTTATGGGTCATAAATTGTTTTATTTTCTACACTTTTCAATTACGTCACCTAAAAATAGTAAAATAATAATATTAATAAAAAAAGTTTGAAAGGTGAAAAAAAAATGTGAAGTAAAATCCAAAAGGGAAACGTGAAAAACGAGGATGCGGCGACTACAAAGACGTGTAAGGTAGTGGTGGGGAGGCAATAGCCAATAGAAAAGCTTAAATAAATAGTAAAACGCACACAATAACTTCATAAAACGACATCCTTTGCCCAACTCCCAATCTACCACCAACTCAGACCGTAACTCCTCCACTCAGTTCTTATCCCCTTCTCCTCCATTTCTTTTTCGCCACTTCGTTACCCATTTTGATTTTTTGCCCAAACGCTTTCCTCACTTTGGTCCAAATTATACACAACAGAAGAGCGCAACCTCATTACCAATATAATATTATATATATATATATATGTTTGTATAGACGTATCAAGCTCTGGTAAGCCGAGGGGGAAAATTGGTATAATAGTCTGAAATGGGCCTACGGTAATCCTGCCAACAGCTCTCTCTACCGCTGATAACAGAATCCTTATCTTCATCGCTGCTTAATCTTTTGTCTCCTTCTCTCGGCTGTGTTCTTTGCAATACCCATATCTTTATCTCTTATTCAATTCAGTCCCCCCCTCCTCTCTCTCTTCTTCTTTTTCTTCTTTTTCTTTCATTTCTTTGGTTTGGTATCTCTGGTTGGTGTCTTCAAGGGTTTTCTTCCTTAAAAACCCTCGAAAAATCGCTGTGCTTAACGCTGACTTTTCTGATTGAATCGAGGGTTTTTCTTATTTTTCCGCTTTGATTGTCTGTGACTTTATCTGGGTCATTTTTGGATATTCCTGGTTTTGCTCCGGCTGATATGGGTTTAGCTTCGGTTTTCCTGGAGATTCTGAGGAAGCCCACGATTGGAGATGTGTTTAGTGAGCTCATGGTGCTTATAGCGCCGTTGTGGATTGCAGTGATTTTTGGAGTTCTTGTCGGCTGGGCATGGAAGCCCAAATGGGCCAACTTGGGAAGAGAAATGTTCGATTGCGTCTCTTCTGCAAACGCTTCCGGGAAATCTGAAACGTCAACTTCTTCCGCCATCGCTTCTTTTCCGTGCTTGAATTTCGTCAAGCTTCAGTTGCCCAATTACATCCCTTGGATTGCCGATGACCGAGTCCGAGAGGACTCAATCTCTGCGCCGTCGAACCAAAGCACTGCTACTGATTGCAGGTTTGTGAAAATTCTTTCAAATTTTTGTATGTATAGCTTGTTTTACTCGATTTTTTGTTATCTTCCCCTTGGATAAATGAAATAGCTGACAGCTTAACTTCTGCAGTTCATCGCAGCTGGAAAAGGATAAAAACGCGCTTGTGACGGAGGAGGATTTAGAGCATTTATGCAAGTTAGTTGAGGTTAAAGATGGAGGTCCAGCTTGGATTCAGATGATGGATCGGTCTACTTCAACTATGAGTTATCAAGCTTGGCGGAGAGATCTGCGGTAAAATTTCTTCCATTCCACTGATGGATATTGCTAAATTTTTGTCTTTTTGATTGCATAATTAGCAAGAAAAGCATTTTGAAGGTTAACTTTTCACCCTGTTTAAATTTGTTAGCTTCTGTGTAATTATTCAGTCTACTCAAGTTATTGATTGAATTTATTTGGTGGGTATGATAGACTGGTCCTCCCCAATACCGTAGCAGAACTGTCTTTGAGGATGCTAGTCCTGAGATGGTTAGGGATTTTTTCTGGGATGATGAATTTCGTTTGAAGTGGGATGACATGCTTGTATATGCTGGAATTTTGGAGGAATGCCCTACTACTGGAGCTATGGTTGTTCACTGGGTGCGAAAGGTTGGATTCTGTTCTACTTCGTCTTTGCTTTCCTCAATTCTCTTGCTTTCTTGAATTATCTTATGTTTTAAATGCTTTCTTTGTGCAGTTTCCGTTCTTCTGCAGTGATAGAGAGTACATGATAGGGCGGCGAATTTGGGAATCAGGACGATTATATTACTGTGTTACAAAGGTATGTGAATGCAAAAGCTCTCTGCTTCTTCCCTGATCTTGTACCAGACTTGAAATTCATATACCTGCATTTATTTAGCTCCTCTATAAATTGATATTGTTGAGTCTAATTGGTTTGTAGTTGGGTTTTAGAGGGCTAGAATCTTAGCATCAGAATGTATAAATCAACTTACTGGTTTTGATTTGAATGTTTGATGAAGTCTTATAAAGAGAGTCAAGTTGAGTGGAGTTGGCAGGATCCATTCACTGTGTTTACGGTTTTTGTCTGGATAATGAAGTCTCAGATGAAAAGTTTTCCTGGGTTGAGACTATAAGATTATATATGTATTTTTTGAAATAATCAAACAAAATTCATCATCCCAGAAAAAATCCCTAACCATATCTCAGGACTAGCATCCTCAAAGACAGTTCTGCTACGGTATTGGGGAGGACCAATCTCAGGATCTCTCTACCAAGCTTGATAACTGATAGTTGAAGTAGACAGATCCATCATCTGAATCCAAGCTGGACCTCCATCTTTAACCTCAACTAACCTGCATAAATGCTCTAAATCCTCCTCCGTCACAAGTGCCTTTCTTTCCTTTTCCAGCTGTGACGAACTTCAATCAGTAGCAGTTCAGATGAGATTATAATTTTGCAATGGCATGCTAGTTGTTTGCCTATAATTGCCAAGGAGCTAAAGAAAATTTTCTTGGTAAAGACTATAAGATTATATGACTATACAAAAGTAGAATGGCATGCTAGTTGATTGCCAACAACTGCCAAGCAGCTCAAGCCTCCTTGATTCCATTCAGAAATGCGCCTCCTTTAAGAACTGAAGTACGCTAAAAGACTTAGTTGAGCTGATAATGTGGAAAAATGGTTATATGTTAGCTGATAATGTAAAACTCGGTTGGTTTATGGTTTACATTGCCATCTGGGAGAACCAGATGTTCACTGCTGCTGGCAATAAATTCGCTAGGGCATTTAGTTTTGTTGCCTGCGATTGTTTTCAGTTGCATTGCTGATCATATTTCTTCATTTTCAGAATGCTTCCTTCAGTTTGCTTTTATTAAGTGTTTGTATGTTCTTCCTTTAGGGAGTACCTTACCCCTCTATGCCAAGACACAACAAGCCACGGCGAGTTGACCGTTACTATTCAAGTTGGTGCATTCGTGCGGGTAATTTTTCATATATTGTTCGTATAAAATGTTTCTCTATTGTAAGCATAGTGCCTTGTTTGGCTCTTCACTTGATGAATTTTTCTTATTCATACCATAACCTCCGAAAGATCTATGATTAACAAATCTCTTTGTTGGATTTAAATCAGTTGAATCGAGAAGGGGTGATGGGCAGCTGACTGCGTGTGAAGTATTACTGTTCCATCATGAGGATATGGGTATACCTTGGGAAATTGCCAAGCTTGGAGTGAGGCAGGGCATGTGGGGAGCAGTCAAGAAAATCGACCCTGGTTTGCGTGCGTATCAGAAGCAGAGAGCATCCGGAGATCCATTGTCACGGTGTGGATTCATGGCTCGGATCAACACCAAAGTAAGTCCAGACTACCTGAGGTCCTTGGAAGACAATGACACTGATTTATCAGCGGTTGAAATTTCAAATTCATCAGAGAAACCATTAGGGAAAAATATACCTAAGCTTCTAGTGGTTGGAGGAGCTATTGTTCTTGCTTGTAGCCTTGACCGCGGACTCCTAACTAAGGCAGTCATCTTTGGTGTTGCCAGACGGTTTGCGAAAATTGGAAGGAGGTTGTGATCAAAGATTTTTTTTTTTTTTGTTTTTTTTCTCCATGATTCCGATAGTGCAAGCCAAAGAAGCCACAGTAAAAAGCGGGTAATGGATTTCCCGACTTGCTACAGTTTTTATAAGATGGGAAAGAAGAATTCTTTTGTGTGATATTTGAGCCATGACAAAGCTGCATCGGATGTAAAAGAAGTAGAGATTAGAAAATAGAGATGATAGAGTTGTAACTTTCTTTCTTCCTTCTTTTGTTTTTTTTTCTTTCCCCCACCCGGAAAAGATTGGCAGTGGAAATAACAAATTTTCAGCTTCCTTTTCGTTCACTCTTTATCTTGCTGACATGAAATGCAATGCTTTTAGCTAAAAAGCACATGATGGTGTCCTCCAAAACGTTGCTAGTGGCCAGGAAACCCGGTGGTGACGATCTCCAGTTCATCAACGCAAGTTGATATTTCCCGTGATTTGATTACTCTTCTCTTCGAAGTACGAAGAAGCACTTGTATTTTTAAACGCAACAAAAGATATTTATTCCGGAGAGAAAAAGCGGCGTGCAATTCGTGTTTCTTCTACTAATCTCTCCATTAATCCAATCATATTCTTTATTATTAATTTCTTTACTAATTAAATAAATTTAAGTTAATATTTTTAATTATTGATTTTAGATAAATAAAAAAAAGTAACTATTGTTTTCTTCCATTAGATCATTAAATACTGTTTCAAAAAATTAAAATTATTAATTTAATTGGGTTAAAAAAAACATTTTAAAAATAAAAAAAAAATTATATCTAATTTGATGCAGTTGAAATTAGTTATTCTAAAACTGACAAATTATTGCATTTTTTAATCCATTATTCTAATTTTATGTATATAAATTAATTTTTTTGTTATTTCTAGATTTGCATAAAATTTTTAAGTTTTAAATATAAATCCACAGAAGAATTTTTGAGTGTTTTTAATATACTTAAAAAGTATGGAATTTATAAAAATATATTTTAATTTTTGAAAAATAAAATTTTACTATACAGTTATATTCATTATATCCTCATTATCTTTTAAATGTATTATTACTGAAGAAAATCAATTTGGATATTTCTTTTTTTCTTGTTTTTGAACCAAAAGTAAATTAAAACAAGAAAAGAATTCACGATTGATTTGGCGCCATCCAAATTGCTTGACAGTTGACGCTTAAAGAGTTCTAGACGAAAAAGTGAACTACTCTGCAACGTTTGCGTGTTCGATATAATCGCCGGCTAATCAATAAACAAAATTGCAGATAATCATGGAATTGGAATTATCAGTTAGACGAACAAATTCGTTTCTTGCATGAACATGGAACTGGAATTTGGGAATTTGATCCAGAAAAACCAATACCCTAAAGAATGAATCGAACCAGATGTTTTTACAACTCAACTTGTATATCGGTATATAAAATCAGTCAAAATCCCTAGTTAAGACCTCAACATATGAAGAAACCCCAAAAACAAAAAAGAAATATCAGGTATGATATCAGATCAATAGGGGACAAGAGTTTCGAAACAGTTCAGCCCATCGAGTTCTGGAGCAAAACGCGGCGTTTTTCGCTGCTGTCGCGCTTCGGCCTTCTCGCCTGCGTCAGAGTTTTTCTTCTGTTGAACACTTTTAGCTTTTTCCTCCATCGTCGTTGTCGAAGCAGCAGCACCTGAAGACGAAGAAGAAGCAGAAGGAGAAGGAGCGTAGACAGCCTTCACCTTATGTCCCAATAACTCGGCACACAGAAAATCGAAGGAACTGAACATTGAATTCATTATGAAAACTTTTGTTATTGCTTGAAGGATTTTCGGAGCAAGTTAAAGATTGAAAGAGAGCTTTGAGAGAGGGTTTGTTGATTGTGAGGGACTCAAGGTTAGAGAAAGGATTTTATATACAGAGTCGTAGAGACGAGTAAGTCTTCTAGGAAAGCGACACCGAAAGAGGAAAGAAGAAGGAGTTGATTGGGTTCCAAGTCTTGACGACCAAAACGACGCCGCCTACAGCTTCAAACCGTGTTGTGTAACGTATTGGACGGTTGTTAGGGCCCCACCTACTTCTTAACTGTCTTACCAGGTCAGAAGCCACGTGGCAAGATTCTTACGCGATCGGTCAAAGCCGTCGTGACGTTGCCGTTCGATAACGGCCACAAGGCTTAACATAATAAATTTATAAATTAAAGTTATTGTGAGATAATAAATTAAACAAGTAATTAAAACAATTGAATTATTAAATAAAAAAATATTATATTAATGTAATAATTATAATTATGAAAAAACAATAGGTGTAAAATGGACGGTGAGTCATCATCCGACGTGGAACGATGAGAACGAAATAAAATATTTGATTTATTATTTATTATTTCCGCGGTGCAGGTGTCTACAAAGCATTAACCTGACACAAAGTTGAATCTGGAAAGTGTACTCATCAATTCCCAAAAGATTTGTGTGGTAACCGATTAATCTCGTACAAAAATTAACATTACTTAATTAATTATGGATTAGTGAAATTAACTTCATCTAATTCTTCTAATCAATGTGATATTATACGTTGTACCGATATAATGACACAATGTTTTTACCTACTGGTTCCTCTTTTAACCATAAAAGGCAATAAATTATTACCAATCAGTATCGCACTGTAAAAAAATAATTACCGTACTGTATCTGTATTATCATGTGCATTACTTATTATTTTAATTTTTTTTTTTCTATAGAAGCTATACGCATTTTTTATTATTTTGGAATATTCAAATTTCTTGAAAGTAAAGTTTCAAGGGAAAAATAATATTTTAATATTTTTTTTTAATTTTTAATAGTAAATATCTATTATTATTTATCTGTTGATAAATAATATTATAAATTTAAATATATTAAAACATATCCAACTAGTTATTATTTTTTGTTTTTTGTTTTTTTATTTCTGTGAGGTTCTCTCTCTCTCGATTTTGGAACATAAATTCTTTTTTATTATCGTTGTTAATTTTTTTTTAGTTATCAATCATTTATATCCAAAATTTTGAAATAAAAATATTATCTGTGATTATATTTATTAATTTACAAATGAAACTTTCTGCGTACGAATTAAATCTCATTATTAGTAAAACTAATAAAATATCGTATGATGATTTAATATTTGCATTCAACAATACTCAAAAAGATAATATAATTGATAAAAAAAAATTTATTGCATGTTTGAATAATAGTATATATATTTTATATTTAGATAGACAAATTTATCGACAAAATAAAGAGATTAATCTTATTGCATGCATTTTGTGTTAAAAGTTAATATAAAAATACATTTGTTTGCAAAATAATAATTAACAATGATATTATTCTCAAAATATGAAAAATATATTACATTTATATGTAATATTATAGTTCGTAACTTCAGTTCTTATACCATTGTTTTGTTAATAAATATTGAATTATACTTGAGATATATATAAAATGATCTTATTCAAAATTTTAATATCAATAAAAAGTATTCGATGCCGATATTAAAATAGTAAAATATTAAAGAAAATAAAAAAAAAATTAATGATAAATTAATAGATTAAAAATTATCTTGGACATAAATTTCAAAAAATTTAAATGGAATACCTTATATTTTAACCAAATAAGTCAGATGGATCAAAATTTTGTAACTTGCATTGAACTTTATCAAATTTCTATGCGTTTTATACCCATTATAATTTTTTGCTTTTTCTATATATTATTCATTATATATATATATATATAATCAACGTTGACTCTATAAGATATTATACATTATAGTTGACCTTGACTAAACCTAGCATGCCTATATATTTAACATAAGCGAATGACGTCATCCCCGCGAAAACACACCCAACATGATTTTATGCGCCACCCAACAAAGAATTGGTCGTGGCCCATTAGCTTTTCAAAAACCACAAGAACAAGCCCATTAAATAAACTTTTAATTATTTGTATTATAAAATACTAGGCACATAATATAATCTTTATGATTATAATAAAAACATTATTTTATATAAATAAAATTATAAAGAAGTAAAAAAATATATAATAAAAAATTATCGTGCTTTAGTTTTTGGTAAAAAATTTACGGAATGAATAATATATGTGGATAAAATATATGACCAAGAGTTTGTAATCAACTAAAAATAAATTACATAAAAATATAATTATACGCCCGCATTATCTGTTTATATTTAAAATATTTAAATAAATAATTATTATATATTATCACGTTAAGTTATTATTTTAACATATTTAAAATTGTTCCATGAATTTTTAAGAAATTTCATTTTACACTTTGTCATGGTGATCTTAATCCATGTATATTTTACTCTCTTTTTTATTTAACAATCCATTATTAATTTGTGATGAAGAAGTTTCGTTGATTATACACAGTAGTCTGATAATTTACTAATTAAAATAAATAAACAATGTTTTTTATTCTAAATTAATTATTACATCTAAATTAACAAAAATATAACAATTATTAGATTGTAATTTTAACATTAGATTTTATTGATCAACAAAATAGTAGTTTAATACTTAAAATATTTGTATTATATTTAAAAATTACGATTTTTAATTTAAATAATAACGTAAAGTTTATCATTTTATAGACGTGTTATGAGTTAATGACGATTGATTTATAATATTTAATTTAGTGAGATCAAAAATTTAATTCAATAGTTTGTCAAGAAGATACCATGACTATATTTAATAAAATTTCAGTGAATCTATAATGTTTTTGGGCAAAAAAAATATTCTGTAACAAATATATTCTTTTAATTAAAATACACATGTAATACCTTTAATTAAATTTAATATAATTAAAATTAATGTATAAATATAATTTTTTATTTAATATAAAAATAAAAAAATAGGTAGATGATGAAATTAAAAATAATTTTGAAAAAAATTGATAAAAATTTGAGTTCCAATGGTGTTTTTGAAAGAAAAATCAGAAACTATAGGTCAAAACGCAATTTAAGAAAATTGTACCACGTAGGATGTCTAGCCAACAACCCCGACGAACCGGAGCACACTGACGCGCGGTGCCACGCTGGCGATCTGCATGCCCGCGATCAGACGGTCTGGATTTGTTCCTGCGTGCACAGACGGTCCAGATTCGTTCTCTCTTTAAACACGATCAGATGGTTCAGATCAAATTGTGATAAACGGTGTAGATCCATTTCATATTTAAACGCGATTGGACGGCTCAAATCAAATCGAGATGAATGGTCGAGATTCATTTCTTATTTAAACGCGATCGGACGGTTCAGATCAAATGTGATGGACGGTTCAAATAAAAAAAATGA